AAAGAAATACGTATTTCTAAAAATTGTCAGCTCACGGTAGATCGCTTCTGACAATATTTCTTACAATTTGCCAACTCTCGAATAAATCGTCTTTGGCTCTCTTTTTTCTAAACTGTCAACTGACGTTAGATCACCTCCGACTATATTTATTAAAAATTGTTAGCTCACGGTAGATCGCTTCTGACAATATTTCTTATAATTTGCCAACTCTCGAATAAATCGTCTTTGGCTCTCTTTTTTCTGAACTGTCAGCTGACGTTAGATCATCTCCGACTATATTTATTAAAAATTGTCAGCTTACGGTAGATCGCCTCTGACAATATTTTTTACAATTTGCCAGCTCTCGAATAAATCGTCTTTGGCTCACTTTTTTCTAAACTGTCAGCTGACGTTAGATCGCCTCCGACTATATTTATTAAAAATTGTCAACTCACGGTAGACCGCCTCTGGTTTTTCTAATTCTACGTCGCCAGGATACGTTAGATCGCCTCTGGCTTTTCTATTTCTACATCACCAGCACACGTTAGATCGCCTCTGGCTTATCTTATTCTTTATTGTAAAATACTTTTACATCATGTGCTTTCACGTCATGTGCTTTATATATATATTATGTATATTATGTACTCCATATTATCTATATTTATATAAAAAATATATATATATAAGAAATTAACACCGTTTTGTATACTGTTTTTACAAGAAATGTATATGATATGCCACATTTTTTATTTCTAAAGCATGAAATATAAAGATATTTTTAATTTCTTGTGTCTATCATTTGTAAAAAAATCTTGATAAAAGAAACAACATTAATTTTGCGACTTGCAATAATCTGTTTCAATATATGCTTTTCTTAAATATTTAAAATTAGCCTTATTTTATGCCTTATTTCTGTTACAGTAGAAAAAAACATTATGTCTTATAACAGAGAGAAATGACGAAATATAATATTGTCTAAAGTACAGTCCAATAAAAACTGTTAAAATTAAACAATATATACAGCGTGTGTCAAAAGTTCCGGGACGGCTGGATAATTTGAAAAATACGCATCACAGAGGAAAATGACCTCGGAGAAGTGGGATGCCCCCCGAGCCCTTTGTCTATGGAGATGGAGGGGGGGTCAGCGCCCCCCCCCCTGGAGAAGGATGAAGAAAATAGGGGAAGAAAGGCGGATCTACGCCTTCTCACCGTTCCCATACTGGAGGAAGTGGGGGGAGGCCGATAGACCGGCCAGCACTCCCCCCACAGCAAAAAAGGAAGGGGCGATTACTGATCGTCACGGCGCGGGCAGGGCGGAGACGGTTTTCTTGCTCGCCCGCCCGCGAGGAAAGGAGTGAGTCGCGAGCGGGGAGAGGGCAAGGGGACCAATGGACCCTTCGCTCTCCTCGGCGCCGCCGAGGGGGAAGAAGCATGAAGCCCCCCCAAACCCTAGTGGCGGAGTTGCGAGGAGGGTGCTCTAAAAGTGCTGATTAAATATAAAGAAATCTAGCAACAATGGTGTCCAAACTGCTGACGTGGCTGTTGCTAAAAATAGTGATGACACCATGCTTATAACAACGCAAAATGGCGCTCAAAATGCTGACAGCACAAAATGGCATCTGCAGATTTTAAGAAAAGCAATGACGTAATCCGTAAAATATGTGGTCCCCTCCAAACTCTTGTAAACTAATATCCCTCCCCTCCATTTTGTGTAACCTGATACCCATCATTTAATAGTACCACAGTATATGTATAACCAATAGCGTCACTTGATAGAAATAGTGTCGAAGAAATATCACAGCGCATGCGTTGCATTACTACTGACAACATGGCGTAAGTTGAGCAACACAGTAATGTGGTTATGTTTATCAAACATAGACATAAGTA